GGATTGTTGCTTTTTAGAGTGATTCTGAAGACTTAGTTTGTCTCTTCGCTTTAGGCCACAGTGCTCAATCTCTGCTCATCTGTTTGGAAGAACTCTCAAAGATGATTCTGCAGTGGCGTTTTTCAGCTTAAGCATCTTTCCAGAAATCTGTTAAGTGCAAATTTCAAAAACTAGGAGTTAGCCTTGCTTTTAAAGCAGTTTTTGGACAAATGTGATTGAAAGGGAATACTTAAAATAGCAAAATTGCGTGTGTTCAGTACTTTATTTTGGTTGCAGTAGGCAAGAGAAGTGGTAATAGTAAGTAGGTAGATGTGGCTCAAAGTTATTGCCTGTTACATGGAATTAAATAAGTAGAAATTAAGCCCTGTGATAATTGGGATATTATCCATTGTACACCTTTTCTTTCCATGCCCACATATGGGAGTTTTACCAGAGTTATATTTGAGTTAATTAGTTTTGTTCTTTAAATAGTTGTGAAGGAAAAAACAATATAAAAATAATACACATGTAATCATTTACAGAAGTGGGCATAATAACAATTGACTGCTGTCAGTGCTTGGGACACCAGTGCAGCATGCAAATGGATCCTGATGGTGTCTTACTTTCTGCTTTCACTGAGACCTGCACATACTGTTCTAAATTAAAAGTTCAATTATGAGATACCAGTATTCTGATTTAACATACTACACTGAGTGATAGTAGTTTGCTTTTCGGAACCCAGTTCTCAGTGCTTGTACAGACATCTTTTTAAATCCTGTATTAGCAACTATTACTGCATTTTACTGGTAAATGGCTTTAAGTCAGTGAATTTCTCTGAATTATTAAGTTCACCTAGAGACAAATCTAGGAATAGTTTGTACTAACTTTAAAAATTTGGGCCCTCCCTGGTGGCGCAGCGGGTTAAAGCACTGCACTAAGAAGCTAAAGCCAGTTCCGCATGAGTTTGATTCCCACCTACCCCGGAGGTGACCACATGGCGCGGCAGACCTCTCCTGACCCGCCAGCTGCTCCCCTTAGCAGTGTACTTCGTCGATCTGCCTGTTCTGCTTCCCGCTCTGTCCCTGGTGAATCCTCTCACCCTCCGCATCTCTGGCCTGTACCTCAGTTCTGTACGAATAAATAAATAAATCTTAAAAAAAAAATTTGAAGGTTCTTTTTTCTTTTTCCAGTATATCACTTATTTTTATATTCTCCACCTACCTTGTCACCTTCTCTGTTATTACTCTACTTCTTACTCAGTAACTTGTCAATGGTACTATTCTGTTTCATGTCCAGAAAACACAATTGCTTTGAATTGGAAGGTTTTTCTTTTTATGTAACATAGTTTGAGGATTAGAAAGGTCTTTAGAGCACCAGAACTTTGGGAGGCTATACTTTTCCAGTGTAGATCTTCTTTTTTTAAGATTTACTTATTTGTGTATACAGAACTAGGGTATAGGCCAGAGGTGCAGGGGCGGTGAGAGGATTCACCAGAGACAGAGTGGGGAGCAGAACAGCCAGATCAACAAAGTACACTGCTGAGGGAGCAGCGGGTGAGACAGAAGTCCTTTGCTCCATGGGGTTACCTCCCTGGCCAGGATCGAACTTGCGCTGAAGCGATTGTGGCCAGCTTTGCCATGCTGTGTTGTAACCTGTTGTGCCACCAAGGAGGACCCTCCACAATGTAGGTCTTTTATAAAGTTGCTTTAGAAAATTCATGGGGATTATAACTGAGATGAAAAAATGTGCAAAATGAAGAAAAGATGTAAATAAATAAATGTATATGTGTGTGTGTGTATATATATATATGTATATATGAGAGGAAGTATCAATCAAATACAAAAAGAAGGGTTGCTTTAGAGTATGCCATAATATTGGCTTTACCTCTGGTTTTAATAACCATTGTTTAACCAGAATTTTCATTGAGAAAGTAAGACTTAGGAAGCTTGAGTTATTGATAATTAGCTGGTATGCCATATAAATACAAGAGAATAACTGCACATACACATGCTTGTATGTATGTATATGTTTAATATAAGCCATTTCTCATTTAAATTAAAGAAGTCAATGACAATGGCCATTTGTTTATTGGTATTAGTACACAAATTTATAATTATCCTTGTTTTGTTGTCAAGTTATGTGGTCTTTCTCTGTTTTTAGTTTCTGGTTTGTGCAGTAGAGCAGTGATAGATATCTGCCTTGTAGTATTGTTGTGATTAAATATAGGGGGTGTGGGCCCTCCCTCCTGGTGCAGCGGGTTAGGGCACAGCACTGCAAGCTGGCCACAGTTGCCTCATTGTGAGAGTTTCATCCGTGGCCTCAGAGTTGACCCACATGGCATGGCAGACTTCTCCTGACCCACCTGCTGCTCCCCTCAACAGTGTACTTAGTCAGTCGGCCTGTTCTGCTCCCCACTCTGTCTCTAGTGAAGCCTCTCAATGTCCCTGTACCTCTGGCTTGTACCCCAGTTCTGTATGCATAAATACATCAATCTTTAAAAAAATATATAGGAGGTGAATGGATTGTGCCAGCACCTATAGACTCTGCAATGTTAGTTTCACGTCGCCGACTTTTTTTTTTTTTAAGATGTATGTATTTATGCATACAAGAATTGGCATAAGTCTAGAGGTGTGGGGGGTAAGAGGATTCACCAGAGACAGGGGAACAGACCAGAGAGATCTACTGAAACACACTGCTGAGGGGAGCAGTGGACAAAATGGGAAAGGTCTGCTGCGCCATATGGGTCACCTCCCTGGCTGGGGATCCAAGTCATGCTGCAGTGGCTTGGGGCGAGTTTCATAGTGCTGTGCTTTAACCCATTGTGCCACCAGGGAGGCTCTACATGGCTTGCTCTTAATGACAAGTCTTTTCTCCGTTTATCCTGTCACATACCAAATTCTCTCTTGAATCCTGTTTAGCAGCTTAAGTGTGTTAAGTTCCTGCTATTTGATTTGGACTTAAAATATTCAGCAGTTAAGTAGTAAATTATGTAAGGATAGAATTTTTTTTACTTGTGGCATGAACTTGCACAAAAAGTAGAAAATAAAATTTTACATGTTAAATTTTATTAAACATTCATTCCTTTACCATATTCTCAAGTACCTCTTTACTGAGTTCAGAACTGCATGAAGTGAAATAGACATCCATGAATTTTAGTGGAAAATGGCTAGTGGAAGAGAAACATGTATTTTATTATAAGCATTGTGTGTATTTAAAAAAATTGTGCTTGCTGCTCACCTCACTACATGGATTTAAAAATGTTTACAGGCAGTTCACTTCTAGGCTGCATCAATAAACTAATGCATATTGGTGATATAGTAGAGTCAACTGCCAAGCATGCTAAAATGAGAAAAGGAATTTGGAGAATGTGTAGTATGTGTGTGAGGTAGGGGAGTCAGTTCTGTAGGTGAACTGATACTAACAAGGAGAACTTGATGTGTGTTGTATAATGGAAAGGGAACAACTTTAAAGAGGAAGGTCACTTATACAAGTATAATGAATGGGAAAAGGATGAGTGCGGAAAAGGGAAAAAAACAGATCAAAAAGCACAAATGGTGAGGCAGTGATATCTATCAAATAATTCTAAGTGATTTTGCTTTGCTCACCATTACATCCTGATTGTTTACCATGATGCCTAGCACTTATGAGTTGTTTGGAAGTTTTTGTAGGACAGATGGGTAGAGAAAGACAAAGAGAAAAATACTCTGCACTGAAGTAGTGGACAAAATTGAGTTCAAAGTTTGGATGTCTTGTAAGAAGGGAGATTGATTGTTTTCTTGAACATTATACTCTTGCAGGATGAGAGGACCCCTGTTTTTCACATTATCACCTATACTTAAAAAAAAAGAATTCATGATAGGTGTACCTTTAGACATGTGGTTTCATGGGTGTGCTGTTTATTGCCCTTGCCTCCTGATGCAGAGTATATACTATAGTAATTTGAGCCATATATCTTTCATTCTCAATTTCAGAAGTAGTTTCGTTTTTTGCTATTCAGATCAAGCTTTAATCATCCCAGCCAGACTAAATTTATTAATTATCTCTAAGATTATTAATTTATACTTTGTTTCTGTAATGTTTCATCATTTGCTTCTCAACCCTTTCACATTTTAGATATGTGATAGTGGCTAATACCTGTTCTTTGGAGTTGCACAGGTTGCCTCTGCCAAAGGACACTTGGAACTAGAATTCTTGTCCCTCTCCTCAGAAATTCTGACCCATCCACAGTGATGTCAAAGTTTGTGGTATCTGGAAAAAGGCAGATAATTTGATGAAGCTTGAAAATGACTGTCTTGACAAAATAGGAGTAGAGTTTTGGGAGGTACTGGTATGGGGACTTGGCATTTCTTAAGACCTGGAGCCACCCAGTTTTGTAAGTAGAAGAAAAGCAGAGCTGGTTGTGGTTTAATACAGTTCTTCAGAACAGACTGCACCAAAAATGAAGACTGTGTGATTATCTGGGAGAGTGTTGAAGGCAGGGAGAGTGGACTAGCATGAGGCTATGTAGCTAAGGTGAACTGGGTCAGATGGGGCATGGAAGTTCTCTAGCATGCTGTTTAGGAGATGTGGGTTCTTCTGAGGAACATTTGTTTTCTGAGGAACATTTGTTTTCTGTACCCTTTACTTCTGTGAGTGCTTGTATGCCCATCTACATTCTTTTCAGATTTGTAATTATGCCAATTGTGTTTTTTGTTGGATATTCTGGAGCAGATGTGACAGTGGAACCATTGCGTCTTTCACAGTTTCATTGTTGGTATGACACTAAAATCTCCAGGAAGGCAGGCATGTGTCTCTCCTGGCATAGTTCGTAAAGAGCCTTGTATGCAGTAAGTTCAATTGAATTCTGAGTATATTGTTTGTTTCTTTTGTTTTTCATTGCATCCAGAAATTCATGTACATAGAGAGGTTTAGCTTTTTAGCCTAAAATTCTGTTACATGGGATGTATTTTCACTCTGATACACTATGTAAACTTGCATTTGAGTGCAATCTGAATACAAATAGATTCGGTATTTTTTTCTAGGTACAAACAGCTAAGGTTTCAGAGCTAAACCCTAATGCAAAAGTATGGGGGTCTCATATGTTACATTTGGAAGCAAGTAGTGCAGCGGATGGCGGTGTGAACACAGCCTGGGAAGAGACGATTGGCCACAGTGCAGACCACAGCCTGGATGGTAAGTTGTGCACATGAATGCGATGAAAGAGCATCTTGTCTTTGTTTACTATTAATCCATTTCTAAGTTGTTCATTAAAATTTATGTCATTGTTCATCACAATGTTTAAACATTAAGACCTCTATTTTAACCAAGTTAAAAAAGCTTTTACTTGTTTTAAGAGAGTTCTTCTAACTCTACTTTTGGGGTTAAATTCTTAATTATAGGATTGGATGCTGATGGTGATGGTGACAAAAATCATGAGAATGCAGCACTGTCAGATTTACAAGAGTCAGACCAAACAGCTATGAACACTTCCACCCTGGATCACAAAGAATATGAATCTCTGCCTGAAAATAGTGAAACAGGTAAAACTATTTTATAGATTAATTTTCATATAGAATATGCATCTTTTTATGTTGCTTTTTAAAATTTCAACTTGTTAAATCTCTCCCTAAACAATGTACTTGTGTTGCCTCTATCTGTTAATACTTTTTTTTAATTAAAGAAATGCTGGCTTTTAGTGGTAAAGTAATATATAATGGTTTACATTATATTTTGAAAGTATAAGATTTCCTCCCTCTAGTGATTTTACCCTAGTGTTGCCATCACCAAAGCACCCATAGCCCATCACCATAGTCCATTGTGAACTTTCCTTACTTTTTAAAAAAATTATATATGATAGTTTATTTTTACATCATTTTGTGCATTTTACTTTCCTTACTTTTTGCTCTACCCACTCTCCCTTTATTTAGCCCACCTGTTTCAGTTCTGTAGTCTGCTTTCAAGGACTTTTTTTGCATTTGGCCTTATCTTACCCTTTGTGTGGTTTCTCTATATTCCACATAAAAATGACACCATCTGGTATTTGTCTATCTCCTTCTGACTGACTTATCATAGCATTTTGCCACAAATGGCGTGAGTTTGTTTTTTTTGATTACTGAGTAGTATTCCATTGAGTACATATAGCACATCTTGATCTATTCATCTGTTTTGGGGCACTTAAATTGTTCCCAGTCTGGCTGTTGTAAACAGTTTTCCAGTAAACATGGGAGTGCAAGCTTCCCTTTGAGTTAATGTATTTGTGTTCTTTGGTTATATAAATAGGAGTGGAATTGCTGGGGTCATGGTAGATCCCTTTTTAATGAGAAACCTTTACACTGCTTTCCACAGGGCCCAGACCAGTCTGCCTTCCCATAACTATGTAAGAAGGTTCCTTTTTCTCCACACTCTTGCCAGCACTTGTTTCTGATATTGTCCATTGTCATGGGAGTAAGGTGTATTATCACATTGTGGTTTTCATTTGTTTTTCCCAGACAGTAGTGATGAGCATTTTTTCATGTGCCTGTTGACCATCTGTAGATTTTCTGTAGAGAACTGCCTATTTAACTATTTTGCCCAGTTTTTAATTGGGTTATTTTCTTGTTGAGTTGTATGAGGTCTTTATAGGTTTTAAATATCAGCACTTTGCCAAGTATATAATGTGCAAGTATTTTCTCCCATTCCGTTGGGCATCTTTTTGTCTTAACAGTTTATTTCACTGTGCTGAAGCTTTTTAGTTTGATGTAGTCCCAGTTGTTTATGTTTTCTTTTGTTTTAAATGTCTATGACATTTCCTTGTCTATGAAGACATCACTGAATCTGTATGATGTGAAGTGTTTTGCCTATGTATTTTATGGTTTCAGGTCTCTGGATCCAAGCCTTTTATCCACTTTGAGTTGATTTTTGTGTATGGTGAGATAGTAAGCTAGTTTAATTTTTTTTGCTGTGACTGTCCACTTTTCCTAACATGAAATAGTAGTATGCTCAAATATCTGAAAAGTTCAAAAGCAACGTAAACTGGTTTTTATTAGAGATATTTTAAAGCCATTTTCAGAAAAATACAGATGCAAGAGGAGAAAAGGCCTCTCTTAGGGACCAGGATGGGGTTCACATAGACATTCTCAACAGTAATAGGACGCCAGTGTTCACTTCTTATTTTCTTTTTGCCTTAATCTAAAAGGCCAGTCAGTGTTTTAAAACCTAAGGGGTAGGTCACTCTGTCATTATTAGTAGTCAGCTGGGGCAGCTGGAGTGGCAGAAAATAGCTCTCTTGATTTGGCTAAGAGCTAATGTACGTGTGTGTTGTTTCCCAGGTGATCTAAAGACACATTTGAATTAGAGTTGCCCTGTGAATTAGACAGTATACACTTTCTGCTTTTACATTATTATGACTGGATGTCCTAGGAGAGGTGCATCATAAATAATGTGTTCAGTATTGTTTATTTTTCCTCTTTAAAGGTAATAATACCATGGAAATCTTGTCTTCCCGATGCTCATTTGCCTGCACTGTTCTTAAATGCCGCCACTCCTAACTGTATTTACTGTGACTTACCTTTTGTGACCTCTTTCCTTCCTTACTTTGCCAGTGTCACTCACACCGTCTAATCCCTTGCCTCCAACTTCCTTCACAGTTACTCAGCAAACACCTCAATCTCATTTAAATATCATTCTCTACCCTACTTTGTACCTGTTGGTACCTGTTGCCTGGCATATAAATAACTGTGGCTGAGCAAGAACTTAATAACAATGTAAAACTGTTTCATTTTTAAGTTTATGATCACAGACTTCTAGCAGGTCATCAGAATGATCCCATACTACTGTTGCTAGTAAGGCTCAGTGAGATGATGCTACTGAATAACCATTTCACACCTCCTGTTTTCTCCTCAGATGCTAGCACTCTTCTTTTTATTGGTGGGCAAGGAGGGAGTAGTATAGAGTATTAATGAAGCATATCTGATGCATAGTGGGCATCACCTATTTAAAATAAACTTTAGCTTTTCTGTTATTTACTCTGGTTTATAAAGCACAATACCCAGTACAACTTGGAAATGATGTACTGATTCGTCCATCTCTTACGAACTTTTCTACCACATTTGATATTTATGCACGTGTAAAACCATCACCACAATCAAGATAATGAATATATCTGTTACCACAAAATGCTTCCTATGTCCTCCATACTGTATTCTTCTCTCTCAGACAACCAGTGATCTGGATTCTGTCACAATAGGTTAGATTACTTTGTATTTTCTAGAATTTTTGTCAGTGGAGTTTTGTTTCACACACATGCCCTTTATCAGGTTGGCATGGTGCCCATCTCTTCCAGTTTGTTAGGGTTTTTGTGATGAAGGGAAGGGATGTTGGAATTTGTTGTGCTTTTTCTCCATCTAAGGCAGTTTTTTTTTTTTTAATTTAGAATATTAAGAAAAAGTATATGGGTTTTGTTTTTTTTTTTCCTCCCCCAAACGTTTAACTAGCCTTCCTTTCCTGGGGAGACCTCACTGTATCATGATACATATTTGAAGTTTTATTGTGTTAAATTGACCAAAATTTTGCTTAGGATAGTTAAATCTCTTTTCATAAAAGATAATAGTCTGTAGTTTCCGATGAAGTTCAGCCTGTTCATTTTTTAAAAAAAAAATATAATTTCTTTCTTAAGTAAAAATCTGAAGGCCCTCCCTGGTGGCGCAGTGGGTTAAAGCACAGCACTAAAAGAAGCTAAAGCCACTTCCGCATGAGTTCGATTCCCTCCTGCCCTGGAGGTGACCACATGGCGCGGCAGACCTCTCCTGACCCGCCCGCTGCTCCCCTCAGCAGTGTACTTCGTCGATCTGCCTGTTCTGCTCCCTACTCTGTCTCTGGTGAAGCCTCTCACCACCCCTGAGCCTCTGGCCTGTACCCCAGTTCTGTATGCACAAATAAATAAATAAATCTTTTTTTTTAAAAAAAAATGTGGAATACCTTCTGGACATAGTTTTCTTTGTAGGGAAGTTTTCAGCTACAGTTTGGTTTTCTTTTAGATTAGATTACTCAGGTTGTTTAAGTAATTTGGTTAATTTTATCTAAATTGTCAAAGTTATTGCATAGAGTTGCTATAAGACTCTTGTACTTTCAATACCTGTAGAATCTAAGTCATGTCAGATTCATTCCTGGTTGGTAGTTATTATCTTCTCAGCTCTTTTTTTCCCCCCTTGCCTCTCTAATCCTTCTAAATAGAAGTTGGATTAGTTCTGTTGATCTTGTCAAAGAACCAGTATTTGCTGCCATTGGTTTTTCTCAGTTCTTTTTCCTCTTCCTGTTTCATGGTTTTTTTCCTTCTGCTCTTTTTTACACACTTTCTTCCAGGTATCTTCGACTTAATTTGTTCTTATACTAGTATCTTAAGATGGAATCTGGGCTTATTGATTTTAGGCTTTTTATTCTAATATAGCCATTTGGGTCTGTAAATATTTTTCTAAATGCTGCATTAGCACAATCTCATTCTCAGATTTTGTGTATTTGCTTCATATTCTTTAATTCATGGACAGATTACAAGTACATTACTTAGCTGCCTAGTATTTGTCTCCACCCTCTCCCAAAAGCTTGCTTTTGATGATTTGTAATGTAATCTTTTTGAATAAAGAGCATATTTTGTATGACTTGAGTTGCCCTTTAAATTAAGATTTGTACTCTGCCCCAGGTTATAGGTATTTTTGGTGCTTGCTCCCTGTGTTCTGGGAGTGTATATTTTGCTGCTGTGTTTCTGGAGTATTCTATACATATTAGTCAGGTTTAGTTTGGTCATAGTGTTGTTCAGGTATGCTATAGTCTTTTTTTGGTTTCTTCCTACTTGCTCTATTAGTTATTGAGAGAGGCATTAATTTTTGGAGTTGTCTATTTCCTTTTTTAATTCTAATATTTTTAAATTCAACTTTTGCTTTGTGTATTTAGGGGTTCTATTTAATTACTATGATATTTTGATGAATCAACTCTTGCTCATAAAATGACCTGTATCCCTGGGAATTTTCTTTGGGATTAACTTTGTTACAGTGTAATATTGTCACCTCAGCTTTCAACTAGGTTAGCATAATATATCTTCTTCCATCCTTTTACCTTTAGCCTATACAGTAAAGTACATTTATTATAGATAGTTGTCTTGCTTTTTCAAAATCAAGTTTTATGCTCTTTGCCTTCAATTCAGTGTTTAGCCTATTGCTATGGCAATTTATGTGATTAGGTTGGAGTCTATCATCTAACTATGTGGCTTTAGAAAACTTTCAGATTTACAGGAAAATGAAAAGATTGACACAGAGAATTGTAATGTTTATATTGATATATTTGCCACAGTTACTGAACCAGATTTGGCCCATTACTACTGAGAGCCCTTTTTCTAACCCAGGATCCATCTAGGACTGCATTACATGTAATCAATCATGTCTCCTTAGGCTTTGTGGACTGTAATAGTTTCTCAGACTTCAGTTTTTCATGATCTTGAGGATTTTGAAGAGTAACGGTCAGTTGTTTTGAAGAGTACCCTTCTATTAGAGTTTGTTTTCATATTTTTTTCATCACAATACTAGATTATGACTTTAGGAGCAGAAAGACCATAGGTCAAATACCTTTTCTACCCTACCACACTATGGGCATATATGGGCAACATTTTTTTTTTTTTTTCCAAAGATTTATTTATTTGTGCATACAGAACTGGGGTACAGGCCAGAGGCTCAGGGGTGGCGAGAGGCTTCACCAGAGACAGAGTGGGGAGCAGAACAGGCAGATCGGCCAAGTACACTGCTGAGGGGAGCAGTGGGCCGGTCAGGAGAGGTCTGCCGCGCCATGTGGTCACCTCCAGGGCAGGCGGGAATCGAACTCATGCGGAAGTGGCTTTAGCTTCTTAGTGCTGTGCTTTAACCCGCTATGCCACCAGGGAGGGCCAGGGCAACATCTTTTATCATTGTTGAGGTGGTCACTAATCATTTGGCTGAGTCTTTAAACATGGTTTCCGCACTGTAAAATTCCTCATTTTCTTCTTTCTTCTATGTTGTACTCGTTGGAAGGAAGTTACTGTGCATAATACTACCTAATGAATGCCTTCTTCAGGAGGGCAGAAAATCTGTGTGACTATTTGGAATTCTTATGAGAGTTTGACTCATTTCCCTTATTTATTTCTATTATTATTATTGTGGTTCTTCTATTTCATTCAACGATTGATTTATATGAACTCCTAGGTGTTTTATACTTTGGGTCATAATACAGTACTAATTTTTATTGCACAGATGTCCTATCATTGGCTGCTGGAGACTTTTTCCAGTTTACTAAACTTGGTAGTTAATATTTTTGCCACTATTTTGGCCTTCTATATCCTTTGTTTCCACCTATAGGACTTAGTTGTAGTTTCTTGTAATTCACAACTGTTTTGTTGTCAGCTTTTCTAGATGTGCGGACCTCTATTTCACTTCCGCCTTTGCTGCAATCACCTCTTAAGATTTGCACTGTTCTTTTCACATGTATTTCCTGTGATAAATCTCAGTTTGATCCATTCTGTGTAACATTTATTAAATCTTGCCAATTTTAAATTTTCTCATTTTTTGAGAATTTTGATTTTTGATGTCTTAAAAATAGCCTTCACATTTCTTGAGATTAATTTCACCTACTTAGTTGCATCTATAATTTAGAACTTTTTTTTCATTAAACTTGGAAACATTTGGGCCATAACTTCTAAAAAATGCATAAAAGAAATTATTCATTGTACTTATGTTCTGTGTGTTTGACTCCTACCCTTGATTTTTTGGCTTGTAATTTGTTTTGATTTTTTTTTTCTTTATAAGTTATTTATTGTTTTACTGCCTGTGTTCTTATTGACTATCTAGAAATGCTATTTGAATTGAGACAAGGCATTAAATAAGCTTGGACTTCTTTTGTGAATAAAAAGCACTTGATAAACTTTGCTGAGCACAGAGTTTTACTCCTCTGTTTTCAAAACTATTTTGTTTTGTTTGGGGGAGGGGATTCTGTGTTGTTTGCATATGATTTCCTTTTTTTTTTTTAGCAATAAACTATTATATTTTCTTAATATACTATATAGACAGCCTAATATGGATACTGAAAACATTAGAATTGTTCTACTTAATCATCTCCTTGGTAAATTTTAAGCCATTTTGCCTTAGTTGATCATTACTTTTATACAGGAGGAAATGAGTCTCAACCAGAAACCCAGGAAGACCCTCGAGAAGTACTTAAAAAAACATTGGAATTCTGCTTATCTAGGTAAGGATGGTAGAGGATTTTCTCATACTTAATATCTGTAGCTGTTAATAACACATTTGTTACTGCACACAGATTTGACATTTTACATAGGATGAGGATATCTGTTGATAATCTATGTCTCTGTACATGTTAATAAGAAATCTAGGCTATTGAGAAGTAATCATTGACTTGTTAGAGAATGGTGTTTCTTACAGTGGTGCATGATTTGTCTTGCCAATCGTTATCTGGGCTACTTTTGTAATAAAGACTCCTATACTCTAACTCTTGCCCATGAATTAAACTCTGAGGTATGATCTTAGGTCATCAGTCATAGACACATTCTTTATTTAGCACAGTGAAGTTTGATGACACACTTCCTATACTCTTTTCAAAATATTCCAAACACTACAGGGTTAAATACTTTGATTTATATAACACTCATTCCTTTAGTTGTGCTTTTTTTCTGTTAAAAAGATGGCTCTGGAAGTTCAGATTGTAGAACTGGACATACAAGAAGATGAGATTGGGTTAAGTGAGTTTTCTTTGATTATAAAGACAGTGGATTGTCTAGATGTAAAGTTTTCTGTTAGTAATGGTTATTTTTCTCTGGTCCTACCTTAAGGCCCCATAGAGGTGTCTTTTGGTGATTGTCCTCAGATTATAGAGCTGCTTCAGGATGAAGGCGAGGAGCCTTCAGGGAGCTTCCTTCTCCAGATATTCACAAATAAGAACACTGCATACACTGCATGATGATATATTTTACAGGAGATAATGCTGTTGCAGAAGTCAGAAAACTTTGTGTGTGCTACTCAAAACTCTTATCTTTTCCCTCTTGTGACCACATGCTCCACATCTATGAGATGGTTAATGAAGATGAGGAGAAACGTATTGCCCTTTCAGACCAATGACATTATTGTGCTTTACTACTCTTCATCAGTCTTTGTTGCAGGACCAGAGAAACCAGAGTTTAGTTGTGTCTGGTGCTGAGGTGTTTTAAAGGCACTGTCTCTCTCTCTTAAAGATTTACTTACTTATGCATACAGAAACTGAGGTAGAGCCCAGGTACGCAGTGGGTGAGAGGATTCGCCACAAAAAGAACAGGCAGATCAGTTGAAATGTACTGTTGAGGGGAGCAGTGGATGAGACAGGAGAGGTCTGCCTCGCTATGTGTCATCTCCCTGACTGGGAATGGAACTCATGAAGTAGTGACTGAGGATAACTTCATAGTGCTGCCATTTTAACCTGTTGCGCCCCCAAGGGAGGACCTTGAAGGCATCGTCTCTTTATGAAAACATGCTGGAAACAATCATGAAAGACTTGAATGCCAGCAAGTAGCTCATCTTCGCCAAAACTGGTTGTGTGTGACTTGCCTTGTGCCTCTGTGTATAATGCTAATGGTGGTGTTCTCTCCTTTTTATTCCTGGGTGCTTAAAGTGCTAGGAAGTCTGATTTAGTTCTGAAGCTTCCCTGGAGCATTCCAGACAGAGCAACAAGTACTTGGATCTCAATCTTGGTTCACTTTTGTGTATTTTCCTTATTTTTATGTTCCTTCATCTGGATTTCCTTTTCTAAAAAAAAAAAAAAAAAGCCTGTATTTTAAATAAGCAATTAATCTCTAAGTACACTTACAGAGATTACTCACTTATTAATTGTAGCTGTTGAAAATGCACTACAGTTTTCTTCTTTCTTCCTCCCCAAATGTCCTTGAAAAAGATTTACCTAAGGTCAGAGAGATGACAATATATGGGATTTAAACTCAGATCTGACTCTGAAGAGATAACCAGGCCACATTCATTCATATCTTTGGTAATGCTTTCTTTTAAATAATTAATGAGAAGAGCTTGTCTTCTTCTTTCAGGGAGAACCTTGCTAGTGATATGTACCTGATATCGCAGATGGATAGTGATCAGTATGTGCCAATCACAACAGTAGCTAACCTGGACCACATCAAGAAGCTCAGTACTGACATGGACTTGATTGTTGAAGTGCTGAGATGTAAGTAAATCATACTTTGGCTGAATTATGTGTGATATTGACTGCACTTTCTGTCATCAGTGTGAATCACCTGAACTATAGGCATTCAGTCATAAGGTACTTGAGGGCAGATAGAAACCTCCCTTTACCTTCCAGTTCTTTCTGACTAAGTACCCCTGTCATGAAAAGCATCTGGTGTGTTTATCTCTGAAACAGCTCTCATCCCTATTGGTAGGTTGAGGGATGTGGAAAGGCTGATGGAGATATTAAGGACAGCTGTCATAATCATGGGAATACAATAAATAATTGTGTTTAGGAGAAAGTAGAGTACATTTTAATTATTAGCATTATTGCCATGAGAGGAATTTCTTTCCAATTTTAATTTAATTTAATATTTCTTCCCAATATTTTAATTTAAAATATTCTATTAGAGACTTGCTAGGATTCAGGAAAAGTGGGTGTTTAAAGTTGTTACCTGCCATCTCACAAGTGCTATTTGTTGCCATCCTGGTTTGCTTTGTAAATTGGGGCTTGTGCAGACTAACCATTTTCTTTGCTGAAAAAAGAACTATGATATTGAGATATAATCAACTTGGTAAACTGCATACTTAAAGCATGCTATTGAATCTTGAATAAGTTTCAATGTATATGAAAACTTACATATATGTCAGTGAAACCATGACCATGTAGGAATAAGAACACATGCACCACTGCCTTCTGTCCTTATGCTCTTTGTGGCAGTTCCCTTCCTTCCCACCCAGATGGCTTCAAATAGGTTAATTTTATACTAAACGTACAATTTATTTCTCATTTCTTTTTAAATGGAATTTTTTTAATTATAAAAATTCACCTTTTATAATAGTGCTACAGCGCCATGCATATAATCTCAATCATCTCCCTTCTCTTTACTGCTTTATTAATGCCCACCATTGGTGGGCATCCTTCACAAAGAACAGGATGCCTGCTCTTCCTAAACACTTGTAATAATGGGGGTGCCATATTGCCTGAACTAAATCCTCATTTCTCTTATTACCATGACTTTTCTTTATTTAATTTACCCTTTGTCTTAGCAGTATGCTGGCAGTCTGAAAAGTTTCCTCTTGTGTACTTTAGTGGAAATAGACAATCATCTTACCTTATAATTTAGTTGTGTTTTATATTTATAAACAAAAATTCTCTTTTTATTTTCCTTGGCAAATATGAACTTGAATGTAATTTACTGAGTACATAGTAAAGAAACTTGCAATATAGTTTGATTTGTGAAAAGAAAGCCTTTTCTCAAGATACTCATGCTTTCCAGTATCACTTTATTTTTTGATCCATTTAAAATAGAAACGTACTTTATCTGTCAGTCAGTGGAGTCTGATTCTGTTGGACTCACAAAATCTAGAGATTTTTATGTAGTTATATAAACTTTACCTTGTTATCAAGTCTTTGGACTTTTTGTCATACCCCACTCAGAGTAACTTCTTACATCTGTAATTTGTTGCATCTTAGAGATGATAAGGGTTTTTTTTTTTTTTTAAAGTGTCCTGTGAACTAATTTAAGTACCTCCTGTGATCTCCATTCCAATCCGTTACTTCTCTTGTCAGCACTATATTGTGTAAGGGAAAAGGGTGGGTAGGTATTTTTGAGTTTCAATGTTACTATCTATCCATTGGTGTTCAGTTGTTCCTTACCTCCGTATCAATTTTCTCACTTAGTTTTTACATAGAAATCTATGTGTATATAATGACCTATATTATCAAAGTATAGTTTCCATATTACTTGATTAGCCATATTCTGAACAGAGTAACTTGAAGAGGCTCTGTGAGCAGAAATCACATGTCTAAATCTTGCTCCTTCCCCCAATATGCATGACATTGAGTCAGACACAGTGCAGTGTGTATGTGTGTGTATGATAGAGAAGGAGAGAGGAAGGAGTGAAGAGAGTGTGTGTGAGAGAGAAGAGAGATTTGAGGTAACATTTCACAAAACTGTTCATGATATTTAGGGGAATAGGCTTACATCTCCTGATAATGTATATCACCTCACCATACCACACTCACCACCAAAGCACCCATATCCTATTATCTCCCTCTCCTCACTCTTGTACCTCCCTCTCCTCACTTTGTACCTACCTCTCTAGTAGCTCATTTCTGTAGTCATACTTCTGGGCATTGCTTTGGTTTAGTTTTTTCTCTATATTTTTCCCCCCATGAGTGAATTCATTAGATATTTTTGTCTTTCTCTTTCTGACTTATTTCACCTGGCATAATTCCCTAAAGTTTTATAGGTTGAAAATGGCAAGGTCTTATTATTTTTTCAGTAGCTGAGTAGTATTCCACCATCTATAAGTACTTCATTTACTTATTCCATCCATTTGTCATTGGGTCACTTAGGTTGTTTCCATAACTTGGCTGTTGTAAATAGTGCTACAATCAATATAGGAAAGCATATATCACTTCAAATGAGTATTTTTGCATTCATTGGATAAATACCAAGAGATGGAATTACTGGGTCATATGATATATATCAATTTTTAATATCATGAGGAATCTCCAAATTTTTTTTTTTAAAGATTTATTTATTTGTTCATACAGAACTGGGTTACAGGCCAGAGGCTCAGGGTTGGCGAGAGGCTTCACCAGAGACAGAGTGGGGAGCTGAACAGGCAGATCTACGAAGTACACTGCTGAAGGGAGCAGCGGGCGTGTCAGGAGAGGTCTGCCACGTCATGTGGTCACCTCCTGGGCAGGCGGGAATCGAACTCATGAGGAAGTGGCTTTAGCTTCTCAGTGCTGTGCTTTAACCCACTGCGTCACCAAGGAGGGCCCTCTCCAAATTGTTTTTTATAGGGACTAAAGCAGTCTGTGTTCCCACCAGTAGTATAGGTTCCTTTTTCTCTACACCTTTGTTAACATTTGTTGTTTTTGTTTTTGTTTGGCTTGGTTTTTGTATGGACCATTCTCACAGAAGTTAGGTGGTTATCTCACTGTACTTTTGATTTGTATTTCCATGATGTTGAACACTTTTTCCATGTCCTATTTATTCTCTGTATGTCCTCTTTGGAGAAATATATATATTTCATTCTTCTGTCCATATTTTGGATTGGGTTCTTTGTTTTATTGAGCGTTGTGTATTCTTTGTGGATCTTGAATTTTAGCTCCATTTTGGATATATGATGTGCAGTTATTTTCTATCATTCAGTAGGCTGTCTTTGTTTTAATGGTAGTGTCTTTTGCAATATAGAACTTTTTAGCTAAACATTATTCCATTTTATTTTTTCTTGTCATTAATCAAGTCCCCATAGCCATTTCTGAATCTAAAATTGTGAAGTATTTTGCCTGTTTTCTTCTGTTTATTATGATTTCAGGTATTATGCCAAGTCTTTAATCCATTTTTAGTAATTTTTTGGTATGGTATGAAAGTGGTATAGTTTCATTTTTCTGCATGTGGATTATCAGTTTTTCCTATACCATTTATTGAAGAGCTATTTCTGTAGTGTATATTCTTGGCTCCTTTCAATATTGTTTGCTATATTGATAACACTTGTCTTCATTTGAATATTCCCTAGTACAGCACTGACATTACTGCTTATGGAGTTGTACAAATTACATTTTTAGACTTTTTATTTTAAATATTTATTTATTTCTGCATACAGAACTGGGGTACAGGCTAGAAGTGCAAGGGGCGGTGAGAGGGTTCACCAGAGACAGAGTGGGAAGCAGAACAGGCAGAATGGCCTGAGTGAAATTCACTGTTGAGGGGAGCTTCAGGTGAGATAGGAGAGGTCTGCCAAGCCATGTGGGTCACCTCCCTGATTGGCGATCTAACATGTGAAGTCGTGCTGAAGTGGCTGCTGCCAGTTTCATAGTGCTGGGCTTTAACCTGTTGCGCCACCAGGGTGGGCCCTGGTGTCAGCATTCTAACTTGGTTTTGAATCTGCTGAATGCTTTGTTTTCCCATTTGAATTTTTGTCAACAGTCCCATTTTTCCAAAGGGTCTGTTGATATTTTTATTGGGGTTGTATTGCATTTATAAGTCAGTTTGAGGAGACAGGACATGATAACAATATACAGTATTGAGGTTTTCAATTCATGAACTCAGAATCAACTATTCTCATTCTCTCTTTCTTACAACCTTTTAAAATTTTCTCTTGGTACTTTTTTACAGTTTCAATTTATAGGTCTTCCATATGTTACCAGATTGATAATTGTGTCATTTTAGACTTAATTTTAGATGACCTTTCATTTAATATCCAGTTGTTTTGTGCTAAGTGTAGAAATAGAGCTCATTTTTGTATTTTGACCTTGTACACTAAAACCTTGCTAAACTCATTCATTATAATTTTTATGGAAATTGTATCACAGCATCTATATAGATGTAAATTTGTTTTCTCTCAGTAAAACGGTCTAACTTTTTCTGTTCAGACATTATTGCCCTGACTTGAACCTTGTTATAATGTTGCATTGGGTAGGAAATGGTGGTTACCTGTTTTCTTTCTCCAGTAAATGTAGTGGTAGAACTTGAGGTGAAAAGTTTCCCTTTCTATTCCTAGTTTACTGAAATTTTATTTAGAATGGATGTTGTTGGGTTTTTAAAATAAAAAGTATGTTTTCATTTATGAAATAATGGTATGGTTGTTTTGATTTTTAATTCATTAAAATGGTGAATCACATCGCTTGTTTTTCTTCCTTCCTCCCTCCCTCACTCCCCCTCCCCCTTTCCCTTTCCCTTTCTCTCTCTGTCTCTGTCTCTTTCTCTCATTTAAGCATACAGAACTGGGGTGCAGGACAGAGGTAGGGAGCAGATCAGGCAGATCGATGAAGTATACTGCTGAGGAGAGCAGCGGGCTGGTCAGGAGAGTTCTACCGTGCCATGTGGGTCAGCTCTGGGGCTGGGGATTGAACTCTGAACTCTCACTGAGGGGGCTGTGGATCACTTGCAGTGCTGCACTTTAAGCCATTGCTCCACCAGGGAGGGCCCAATTTACAGTTGGTAAATCAATCATGCATGAATGAGATAAATCCGTGAACATTTTAATATACTTTTAGATATAGTGCCTCCAGAATTTGATGAGAATTTTTTTTATTGATGTGTACGAAGGATATTGGCAGTAGTTTTCTTGACTTAAAGTCTTTGTTTAACTTAGGCATCAGAAAACTGCTGGCATCTTAGGTTGAATTGGAAAGTGTTCCCAAGTGTTTTAAGAAACATTTGTGCTATAGAATTGGTATTTTTTTTCTTTAAAAATTTAATTGAATTCTCTAGGTGGACAATGTGGCCCTTAAAATTTCTTTTTTCACCTAGAAATCAGGTCTATTCTGTTTACCTTTTCTAAAGTTAGTTTTGGTGTACTGTATAAAGAATGGTACTGTTTGTTGTAAGTTATCAGATATAGTTGCACGAACTTTTTGTAAGATTCCTTATTAACCTGTTGCTGAGTAGAACCTATAGTGATGATCCATCCTTCATTCCTGATGCTGGTAATGTGTGTCTGTGCTCTTGTGGACAGCTCTCATCACTGATTGTGATCATGATATGCCCTGACTCATCCACACATGATAGCTGTGGCACCAAAAACATAACATGAAAGAGTGCACATATCAACTGTTCCTAAAGTCTGAATTAGGTCTGTACCTGAATGTTGTGTTACCTGGATAGCCTTCTTGTTTTTTGTTTTTTAAAGACTTATTTATTATGAACACAAGAACTGCAATATAGGCCAAACTTGTTGGGGATCAGGGGAAAGGATTCATCACAGAGTGGAGAGCAGAGCAGAGAGATCTACTGAAATACATTGCTGAAGGGAGCGGCATGCAAAACAGGAGAGGTTTGCTACATCATGTGAGCCAACTCCCTAGCTAGGGATTGAACTTATACCACACTGGCTCACACTAGCTTGATAGGGCTGAGACGTTAACCCCTGTGCTCTCCAGGGAGGCCCCATCCTCCTTGTTTTGATAGTGAAGTATGGCTGTGCACATAGCATCACTTAGGAGACATGGGAGAAAGGTATGCAGGAGCTTCTTGTGAGATCAAAACTAAGTTTTCATAAGACAAAATATTTTACTTTTGGACTTAGGCGAAAGCCTTAATCTACTTTTACTTGTTTGAACTGTTAGAGCCTTTGTTTCATGATGCTACATTTATTACAGTACTTTGTCCATTGTATATGCATTTCTTTTATAATACAGTGTAATACATTCCACTGGTGTATCTATTGAGGTTGTAGGAAGAGTCACAACACATTTTTTCTTGTTTTTCAAAGAAAAAACCATGTTATGACTTTTCTGAGAATCCCAATATGTGACATCAATAATAGCATGCAAATGATTGATTTAATATTTATGTTTTACCATTCATTTTCTTTCTTTTATAGCTTTACCTTTAGTCCAAGTGGATGAAAAGGGAGAAAAAGTAAGGCCAAATCAAAATCGCTGCATAGTGATACTACGTGAAATATCTGAATCCACCCCAGTAGAAGTAAGTTATTTCTCCTTTGAGGGATACTTGGACATTTTTTGTGTTTGGGTTTTTAAAATTTTTTCATGCTTTTTGGAAGATGTATTTTAAAGATAATCCAGTTCTTTCCCTAGGAGTTATACACTCTTGTTAGTTAAAGTGTGATTTGTTTGTAAGAGTGCCTTTCAAGCTCTTGGGTCTCAAGCCTGTATTACTCTACATTAAAGACAAAAGAACTTATGGTAATTTCAGTCTTTAAAAGTTAAGTGTAATAAGCCTGTATGTTTTAGCATAAGCAACACAATTCTTATGATCAATAGCTTTTCAAAAGATTTTCATGAGAGGGGCAGTATGAAGGTTCACGCTAAGCCAGTGTTTGACTTAGGGTAATTTACCAGCATTTGTAAAATTCATAGAGCTTAAAAAAAAAAAAGGAAACATTTTTGCTATGTAAGTGGAGACCTGAGATCAAAATTTGATAACTGCTCAGTTGCACAGTAATTTCAAGAACTGTAATATCTCCTATTTTCAGAGTAATGAAAGTAACTTATTATTAGTTCCTTGTAAAACATGTCTAAATGCCTAAACCAAATGCCTGAAGTTACCACACATAGTAAAACATGCTGATATTATGTCTTACAATAATAAAGAAAAGCACTGAACAAAGCAGGTCTTGGTCTCTCACTGCTTTTGGACTCTCAGAGAACACACAGAAGTTCCAGTGTCAGTTTTACATATTCCATGTAGAATACTTCATGGACACATTAATAACTGCATACCTTCCTAATAGCTTCCCTATAGTCTAAATAGATTAGTGAATGTGAGGTGTAGTAAGATGACAAAATGTTGCAAAGGTGAGTATTCCAACAATATCTAGGATAAGAAATTACATCATTCCTGAGTCTGATCTGGTTCTACCAAGTTTTACTTTTTATTCACTTAGGTTGACTAGTTCATTAGAAAAAGAAGTTAGATTTGTAATTTTTTCCCCATCTTTTTATCAAGATTCTAAACATGAATGGTCAGCATATGTTACTAATCTGAATGTCTTCATTAACTCAATACTATTTTAATGCATTGCAAACCCTAATTTTCAAGACTTGACACATTTGTAAAGACTATACCAAGAAGAATTTCTGCTCTTAGCTGCAGAAATTGATCTTGGTATATGTTCACCTTTCCAAACTGCATACCCCACATTTGTAAAATTTGAACACTGGAAGACTTAGAAGAGAAAGTTTAGGGGAAACTCTTATCATAAGTTAAAATTTGAGGAAAAAAGGAATGGGGGGGATATTTAAAGCAGTCTGATAAGAAAGGAGTACTAAGTTCCTAAACTTTGTAAATTTCTTTTACTAGTAAGAACTTTTCAGTTAACCAGTTTCTTGACAGTGATTGCAGAGTTTTTGTAGTTCATTAATTTCTTTACTACTTTTAGAAGGGTAACTGTTCTTTTATGAAAAAACCTCCCCCCCCCCCCATGGTAATATTTTTGCTCTGGGATCTACGTTATATATTAATTACTCAGCTAGCTTTCCTAACTATAAAGTTAGCCTGGTATATCTTTTTCCATTCTTTACTTTTAGTCCTTTTGTGTCTTTCTGTTTAAACACGGGCTTCTCATAAGCAGTTTACATTTTGTTCTTACTTTTCCTATCTAATTTGAAAATCTCTACCTTTGGAGGAGTTTAGACCATCTATATTGATATGTTTAGTAATGTGATTGGGTTTAAATTTAATTACCTTTCTATTTCCTTTTTATTTGTCTCTCCTATTCTGTTTTCTTTCCTCCCCACTCCTGTTTTTAGATTAAATGTGTATTTTTATCTCCCCTTTTTTCTATTTGGTGGCTTATTAGGTATACCTCTTTGTTTTTGTTCTACTAGTCGCTTTAGATTTTATAGTTGATGACTCTTATAGTCTGCCTTAATAATACAGTGCTCCTCTTTCCACCTCATAAAGCATGCTTCCGTTTTACCACATCCAGCCTTTATGCTGTTGTTACATTTTAATTCTACAAAAGCATAAATTCCAAATTATTTTATTATTATGCTTTAAACATGTCAACTTTCTTTTAAAGGTATTAAAAATAAAAGTGTAGTTTATATGTATCTAGTATTTACTATTTACAGTGATTTTTATTCCTTTGTCTAGATCTAGATTTTCATCTGGCATCATTTCTACCTCAATATTAGTCTAATATATCTTGTGGAATAGGTCTGCTTGTACTACACCTTTTTTATGTTTGAGAAAATCTTTATGCCAGATTTTTTTTTGCTGAGTATAGAATTCTGCCCTGACAGGCTAGAACTTTCATTTTTATTTTGAAGATTTAACTCGGCTCTGGTGTGCATTGTTTCTGAGGATAAATCTCGCTTACTTTCATTTCTCTACATGTAACATTTCTCTATTTCTTGCTGCTTTGAAGATTTTTATCACTGCTTTTATGCAATTAAGTTACATTCTGCTTTGATGTTTTCAACTTCCTTTTATTTGTCACACTTGCTCATGAAATCGTAGCCATGATTTCTTAAAATAACCCTTTTCTTCTCCCTTCTGAAAATGTGTAACTGTTACTCCTTTAGTGTATTTTTCATTTTCTACATTCTTTTAAATTTGGTTCTTTAAAAAAAAAAAGTTCGTCTATTATACTTGCTCAGTTACTATCTTTTAAATATAGACTATATTCTTCAATAACTATTTTGATGTCCTTGTCTACTAATTCTATCATCACTAACATTTCTGGATCTAATTTGATGTTTTTTCATTATGGGTTCTATTTTTCTGTATTCTTTTCTTTAGTATTCTGGAGCTTTGTTAAGAGGTTCAGCTATTAGTGGAAGTAGAGCTACCTTTACAGTACACTTTTCCATTGCTGAGGCAGGGCCCTTGTGAGTGCTGTCCTGGAAGTTCTGTGAATCAGGAGCATTCGCACTCTGGCTGGTGGGAAGACACAAAGCCCATCCTACTGAGCTCTCGGTATTCCACTCATTTCAGGTAGTTGTCTGTTACTTGCTGAACCTTTGGAATACCTCCTAAGAGCTCTAGCATTGTTGGCTATGTAATCACTTTCTGATATTGCAGGCTGGAAAAGGTACTGGCCGGGCAATTGTGAGCTCATCTGTGTGTATCCCTCTTAGGCCATTGTCTGGAAGTGGTTATTTCAGATATTTTGTGTTTGTTTATTTAAATAATTGCATGGGGGAAGGGTAACCTGATTAACCTTAGATGGAAGCAAAAAACCAGCTATTTTTCTAAATTTTTTAGTTATTACCAACTCGCCCCCCATTTGTTAGTTATTAACTTACTGGTGGTAGTTTAACTGATATCTTGATATTGATTTGGTTTACTCTTACCTTGGGAGTTGGGAAAGCTGTGCGTAATGTATCTTTTTCTGTGGCATTGGAATCCTAATTTGGAAGCCATATTGAATTCTTCATTTGTTTTGGAGGAGAGGTTTTCTAGGCATTAGTGTATTGGACTCTTGATTTAAGGATATGTCCTTAAGCATGCACACCTGTTTTATTTGGTGAAGAAAAAGGTAGTAATTCAATATTAATTTCTTGACCTTTCTGTTTCTAGGAAGTAGAAGCACTATTTAAAGGTGATAACTTACCGAAATTTATAAACTGTGAATTTGCCTACAATGATAATTGGTTTATTACATTTGAAACAGAAGCTGATGCACAACAGGTAAGCTCTTCCCCACTAACCATACACCCCTGTCCCTTCCTATCCCATCCAACCTCACCCCAGAAGTACAGCATTTACTCATACGTAACAGATATCACATAGCAGGACTAAATTTGGGCATTAATGTTGCTATCAATATTTTATGGACTATATAAGGAAAATATAAGAAAAACAGCCTAGGAAATTAAGTTCTGTCTTTATATCTGGACAAAGAGCTTTTTATACTTGGGAAGTATCATGGGAAATTTGAACCCAGTCTTCATAGTTGTGTGTGTGAGAGAGACACTTGAGAAGATACAAAGGAGCTTTGTCAGAAAGCATAGAGTTAAGATGGTTTCCCTGTCCCTGGAAATTTTACTTTGGGGGAGATGAGGTAACATTTATAGAGAGATTCCAGTATAAAATGAAGTGTTGAATAGCTAGAGTGTCATGGGATTCAAAAAAGATTTTAAAAAGTTTGAAATAATGGCTTTTAATTGACAGGAAGGGAAATGAAGAACAGAGGGAGGCACTTTGTGTACTTGTGTATATACACTTAAGCTCACATGTGCAGCTAGGGCATCTTTCATTTCCATTTGGGAACATGGCAGGATTAGGGTGGATCAGATGGATCCAAGTCTTCAGTATTATACTGGAACTTCAGAACCAGTTTAGAGAGGAACAGAAAATCCATAAAGAATGATTTTTCTGGAACTGTGTAATGCCAGTACAAATTGTGGTTATTACTCAGGAATCAGCATTCATTGTTTTCCCCTAGTTCAGGATTCTTAGTGTGTGGCCTCTGGGAGTCTTATTATTTATATTAATATCTGTAAAATTGTAAATAGATGTTTGGGGGGTAAGGGATCTATATCTCTTATCAGATTATTTTTTGGGAAAAATTTATTTGTGCATACAGAACTGGGGTACAGGCCAGAGGCTCAGGGGCGCTGAGGAGCTTCACCAGACACAGAGCGGGGAGCAGAATAGGCAGGTCAACGAAGTACACTGCTGAAGGGAGCAGTGGGCGGGTCAGGAGAGGTCTGCCACGCCATGCGGTCACCTC